TAAGTGTTTTAGTAAAAGGGTCAAAAGTTGGAATTTTGATTTTCGCGATTTCGATGACTAATGAATGGCTAATGAATTCTGACTACCCCTGGTGTGCTGATAAACCACGTTAGAACAATTGTTCTATTCAATACTATAACGGTGAATGCATACAAGGTAAACCAGCGGCGGGCTCATTATCTGGCTTATTAACTCGATTGACACATCATGTGACCCGAGCTGAACCAACTAAGCACAGAAAAAAAAATGATGAACATCAGAGCAGCTTAAAAAAATTTGATCAGGGGGGGATTCGAACCCCCGCTCTTTCGAACTGCGGAAATTGTCAAGGTTACCTTACGGTGAGCCTAAACACAGCGCCTTAACCACTCGGCCACCTGACCTGCGTGACAAATTAATGGTTTGTAAATACGAGAAATACATATTATAAATACACAAAAATAGTATGATGGTGGCTTTACTACTTTTGCTAGCTTATAGGGAGTCGCATAAACTTAATTAGCGAGAATAGTTAGCTCGATCAGCTTATATCGATTGAATTCCATAGAAAGTAATTATATACAATGTCAATTATGTAGCAAACCACGTGCTTGAACATGATACACCTAGTATCTTAGCCTTGCCGCCAGGCTGAAGAGTCATTGCCCATCCGAAAAAAGGCAGAGCGACTGTAACAACACAATGGCCGACCTAGATGAAGACCAATCGCTGGTCTCTCAGCCTGAAGGGGAAGAGGAAGGCGACGTTCTGTCGCAAGATTATAGGCAGCTCAGCGCAAAAGCTGGGTACAGAATCCCCAAACGCGGAGACAAAGACTTCGAACCTCACGGCACGAAACAACAAGATGGCGTTCTCGAATCCCAGAGAAAAGCTATGCACAATGTTCTGAACTATACCAGGGTATATCCTCCGAAGTCGCACATACGAGCTTTTTACTACGGAGAAGAAAGTCTACGGAAGGAGTATGTCATTGAAGAGGAATGGAGGCAGGGTTTGGAAGATGACCATGTCGTAGCTGTTGAGACTGTGAAGCATGGATTTGGCACTTCTATGGGGACTTGGTCCAAGGGAAAGCCAACGCCAACTCTGTGGCTGCTACCAGAGGAAGCGCTGTACCTGGTCGAAAGAGGCAGTATGGATTTATGGTGGCCCACCAGCTCATCCTTCAAGCATGCGAAGCAGCACACGGAAGGCGGGTTTCCTGAGGAGGATGAATTTGAGGAGGGTGAGAGTGATAGTGATGAAGACGTCAAGGATGTGGGAACACCTATGAGCTTACAAGCTGCATATGCCATGCTTATAGGGGAGGAAGGACAAAAAGGCAAAGTCACTATGGAAAAGTTCAGCGTATATACCAACCTTCGAAGGGCTGGCTATGTTGTGCAGCGAGCATGGAAATGGGATTTGAGGGTCGCTACTTTAGGTATAGCAGAGCCTCTGGTCACTAAGCCCTCACAAAGTACCTTCGACTGGATGTTTGGACGCTTCTTCACTGAACCCGAAGTAGAGCACACTTCATATGGTCCGCTCGTGAGACCTAGCATGTACAGATCATACAACGCGATCTTCCGGCAGATTGCGATTATCCCTCGACATAAACCATCACGTATACCTGATGATCTCAAACCAGAATATCCTTACAGGGTTGCCTATCACTTATGGAAGCCCACCAGCGCTTACTCGAAACAAAATTCTGGGTCTCCAGACTTTCGGATAGCTGTCGCTGATGCTCGGGTGGACTATATGCCAACACTGAAGCAGATGACTTCGCTACTGGAAATTACTCCCTGGAAGCCACCTCCAGCTGATATACTGGAACCCCAAAAGGTCAACCAGCGATTGAAACATGGTTGGCGCAATGTGCTTTTGGCCGTAGTTGACCAAGGTATTGTCAGCTTCATGCAGCTTGGTGAAGCCGCTTTTGGGGAAGAGCTCTTGAGCGGTAAGTTCGATCGAGGAGGAACGGTAGATACAAAACGCGGTGGAGGTGTACGAGGACGCAGACGAGGTCGAGGTAGAGGGAGAGGGAGAGGGAGAGGGAGAGGGCGTGGAAGCTGATGATTGTGCCGCGAGGAAGTGTGGCTCAGAAAATGAAGGTTGTGACCAGCAAATCAAAAGTTGGCCGTATGGTCGCTGAATTGATCGAAAGTGACTATCAAGTATTATTGCAAGAACACAGCATCACACCTTTCCAGTCACGTTCACAAAAGAACAACTTGTCATAAACTTCGTGCCAGGATTTTTGACATTTCAACAAATTTGGAATATTGATCTTAGCATTATCAGTGGCATAACATAATGTCCTGCTGTCCAGTACAACAAAAAAAACATGGCTGAAGCTGGAGGGAGTTGTTTCTAATTCTCATTTCCTGGCATTGCCTTCAGCCATAGCCGAGACAGTAGCTAGGATGGTGGCAGAATCAGATAAATTGTACAATTTACGTAGTGAATACCAACTACACCTATCCATTTCCTCAACGTGTGAACGGAACCCTACACTTCTTTTACAGTACAAAATTTGGTGTGCTCATTGAGAGCTAAGGTAATCATGTGGAAGTGGAAGTGCAAGGAAATTCCAAGCCTTTAATATCATTGCACAGCGCTCTTCAGAGCTCTGCGCTCCGGCTCCGTTGAAAGGCAACCACGTAATCTACTTAGCGCCACTTCACGCTGCTGTCTCAGGTCTCTCTGCCAAATCGACAAATCCTCTCTTCAATCCCTCTTCAACTTTTCCGCTCTTTCACTCTTCATCAAAACAGGCAATTCTAATTGTCTTTTCGCGCGCTGTTTACGCGTCAAAGCAACAATTATAAACCCCACGTACTCGACAACAAATCAATGCCCGGGCCAATGGAGGCGCTGACAGAGCATCACTTAACCTCCGGCGCTATTCTGCACAATTCAACCACCACCTCAGAATCTTTGACAAACCGCAGCACCGAATCCATGGAGAACGATTCTCCTCGCGCTCTAACGCCTGATGAGTAAGTCATTGTCGTTATTATTACATCGTTGAATTGGCTTGTCTACCTCTGCGCGGCTGAGTGTCATTGCTACTTATCCGGAATCTTCCACGTCACTCGCTCCAGCTCTACAGCTCCATATTGTCCATCAAAACAAGTCGCGCTCTTCGACGCTGGAGGCAACTGCAATTGCCCATCCATCTCGAGTCCAATTCAGCATTTGACCAAGTCAATTGTTGAACTGGAATAAGTATTTCTGTGATACGAGGAAAGATCAATTTAATGAGGCCCAAATTGCAATGCATCGCCTCCATTGCGATGCGAGTTCACTCTTGCAACAGCTTGGTTCTTTGGTCTTCAGCGCTCCCCTTGAACTTTGGCTTTAGATTTCCGCAACAGCGCTTTCTCTATCGCTTTCAAGAACCCAACTCTGAGGCAAATTTGTCTTACCCACACTGCTTCCATTTTTACGTTGTTGGCAGCGATCTTCACTTTAACAAACTTGCTTACCTTACCTGAACAGAAAATCTTCCGGTAACACACCTCTACAGTCACTCGACTCAGCGTCCAATGGTATAAATAATGCTCCACATGGTTATCCATACGCATCTCTAAACTCGGTTCGACTCCATCTCCAGCTAAAGATGCGCTTATTCCAGCAAACTGACACGTGCATAGCCCGACAAAGGAGGTATCGAAGTAGATGAACAAGATATGGACTCCTCCGCCATTGTAGTCGAGAACGATCGCGATGACTCTTACATGGATGATTATGATGACATTGTCCCTGCTGTCGCCGCCAAACGCAAGAGAACCAGCACGAATTATTCCTTTGAAGACGGTTATGCTCAGCCGGCAGCTGAACATATGTCGAAAAAATCCAAGCCACAGAAGATTCGTGGTGTTCAGCTTGGTGTTTGGTCTAATTCTTCTGAGTCTAGTGACGCCGATAAACATGTTATCTACGGTTTCATCGATATTCACGATCGTCTACGGACCAGAATTTACGGAATGAATCGCAGAGGCGAGACCCTGGTCGGGAACATGCCTCAAGGAGCAGGAGGATGTTGGGTCACTTTCGAGCGCGTAATCTTCGATCCACATCTCAAAGGCCTCGGCTCTGCTGAAGTGAAGGAATACGTCAAGCTTCGATCAGACAATACACCTATTGCGGATCTGGAAGAACGCGCGAAGGCTGACATTAAAGCTGTTGAAAAAGCGAAAGTCATTGCCGCGACTTATGCCCCCGAGACGCCGAAGTTCGTTCCTCATCGTCCTATCAAGCACCCATCCAGTACCAGCCATCGCACTTCACTGCCTAATCAGTCGGCAGGCGGTAGTCCCCGATCCTCGCGCATGCAAGCCCCAAAGGCACCCAACCATACGCAAGGTTTCAGAGCCATCAACAGTCTCAGCAGCCACCCGCCCTCCAAGCACTCACCCCTCAACGATAAAGACAAGCCCAGCGGCGTCATTCTTGGCTACTGGGCTGACTCATCCGAACATCGCCTCGAAGACAAACACGCAGTCTACGGTCTCATCAGCGGTACCAACACCTTCCGCGTTCAAATCCAAAAATGCACGCGTGACGGACGCTTCCTTGAGGGGAATTATCCCGCTGGTCCCGGCCGTAATTGGATACACTACGATAAGCTAGTCGTCGATCCCCAATTCGCAGACATGACACGACCGGAAATCAAAGAATACGTTCGCATCCGGCAGGCGGAGGGGGAGAGTCGCGATAGTCGTGAGAGCGAAAAAGAGCGAAGACTCAACGAAGCACAGGCTATTCGACAAGCTAGAGAGAACATTGCTCATAGCTTGCTTCAGGTTGAAGCAGCTGTTGCCAAGGAGCGTGCGCAGAGTGATGAGATTCTCATGGAAACACGCCTCGGCTCCCGCTCAGAAGCACCACGCACCATTACCCGCCAAACAGAAACCGCCGCCGCCCTCACCCGTCAAGAGAAAGCCGAAGCGCGCGAACGCCAGCTAGCCAAGACGCGAAAAGAGTCTGCTGCCGCTGCAGAAGAGAGCGCACAGGCTGAACTCAAGAACAACCTCAAGAAACTGAATAAAGTATGGATTGCCCAGCGACAGCAACATCAACAGCAACAGCAAGTTGCGAGCCCTAGTCCCGTGGCTGGAACATCGCCGCCAGTAGTGGTAACAGAGGAGGTCAGATATCATAATGGCGTCAAGTATGAGCGAAAGCAGGCGGGTCCGTTTATGGGAAAGCTGGTTAGTGTGCCGCAGATTCTGAGTATCGATGGTGAGGACTATGTTGAATATCGAGTTCTGACAAAGCCTACGTTCTGATTATAAGATCTGGGCGAAGGGCCCGAGGAGATAATTGACGGCATCTTTATGTATGAATTGTACTCTATATTGCGAGCCTTTCGGGCAACTTCTCATCTGGAGCA